ACTGGTTTATAAATGGTTCTTAATGATTAATAAAGTGTTTACAACCTAATTCATAACCTAATTATAAACCCTTTATGAATCCTTTATAAGGGTAGTCTTATTGTAAAGTGGTACCAGAAATTCAATAAAAAAGAGAGAAATAGAAACTAATTTAAATGTTTATTAATTCAAGTTAATTGTCTCTCAATCGGCTAATTGATTAATATACTAAGCAGTTCTTATATAAAGTTTAATGTATTACAAAATGTGTAAACTCTAGAAGTATAAAGATGCAGAAAAAGAAAGTACTAATACAAGTTTGTTCTTGGTTCCACCCCTGACATAACGTGACTGCGTTCTTTATACTCGTTCTCACAGACTGTCGAGCGTCAGTGGTCGGTAGAGATGCTCGGTACAGATGAAACAATGGGGGATAAGCGGGTCAGTCTTTGTAGGACAGAGAAAAAGGGCCTCTTGAGTCTCACCTGTGTTTTTATGCAATTTTCAGAGCTTGCTGGCTGTGAGCAGCCTATCAGCTGCTCTTTCAACAGCTGTCAGGTGAATGACACAGTGGAGACAGGACGAGGATCTGGCTCCTAAAGCAAAGAGGAAGTGTTGACATTGTAGTGACTTTGCTTTGTTTGACTTCTTATGTACTTATATGGTTGATCATAAACTTCTCGTCAAGCTTGTCTCAAAGCGTGTCTCCAGGTCTCCTCTCCTCAGCTGCTCCTCTACTCTCAGTCCGGAGCTTTATGTATTACAGCCCATCAACTAAAGCTGCTTATGAATTATGTGGTTTGTCCGTGTATTGTCGTCACGTTCAATCACTCAGAAGCAGTATCTACACTGAGAATGGAAAAGCATAATCTGTAATTTAGATTAACGGGGCAATACACCATATATACACACAGGATTATATCTCCAGGCTCCAAGTTAGAGATAGTTTTTAAATGTGTTATTTTGAAATAAACACTCCAAATTAGAAATGTAACACCCTCTCCAGCCTCCATACAGGCCCACAACTACTTTATATCTTCTGTTTTTTACCCACACAGAACAATCTATGACTGGTTTATTTAAAATTATAATAACTTCCTGAAACTGAATAGATTTCAGTGTGTTTGGGTCTCTAAGCTGCATCACTTATTGATGCTGCTCGCTGATATTCATGACTCATTTACAGACTCTGCAGACTCCAGTGTCCAGCCTGCTGCATGGCATTCCTACCAACCTTAGCCATGTTGTTTCCTATTTGTCAGTAACAGAAGGTCCAAAGCATCTTATTTAAAAATCAACCATGTTTTCCTTTGTTTCATTAGGGGGGCAGGGTATCCCTCTAGCTTTAAATATTTGTGTTTGTGTTTGAATGCAGACGGGTTCATGACTGACACCATGTCACACTTGTAGTGATTTCTTTTGTAAATGCAGTTTAAGTTGAAGCAGCAACAATGATCTTGAATCACCAAATTATTTTGGTCAGTTTTGCAGACAAAAACACAAAGAAATGGCCAGCCCCCAGCTTCTGACCTTTAATGATATTTAATGATGTGAACGTTTTCTTATTGGTCTTATGTGAAAGCATAATTATTTGTTTGGGTATTGGAATGTAGGTGGATAAAACCAACAATTTGAATTCAAGTGAAACTAATCTTTATTTTCTGACATTACAGCCATATCAAACAAGCATGTGTTGGCCATCTTTGGCTAATAAATCACAGAGCATTTTCTATAATGACTTTGAGAACATCTTCAATGCAGCTGTAGGCTGACATCGGTCATTGTGAATGGGAGCTCAACAGAGGAGAAAGATGCAGTTTAAAGTTTTGCTACATGAGCCATCAGGAATTCTCATCTGTGTTGTTGTAAGTTGAAAGTAAACTACTTAACTAATACTTAGTTAAGCACTTCCAATTTATTAATTTCCAAGGACAAACAATCATCTTTTTTTTTTTGAAATACTTTTAGACCCAAGAGCCAAAGAGAACATGTTCTTAAATTCTGATAAAACAACGTCATCATGGGAAAGAATCTTCAAGCCCCTTCCTGAGCCAAAAACACAATATAGTGTATTAAACGGTAAAGCAGCCCTTTAACTTGAATTGCATCACTTTTGGCAATACATAGCAACACTGATAGCTCTGGTCAAAGTCAAACAAGTGCTCACTTGTGATGCTGCAGTTCAAACATGATTAACCTGTTCATTTTCCACTGGTGGTTCATTCCTTTGAAACCAAATTAAGAATGCAGCCGAAGCTGTAAGGTATTCCTTTGGAAAGGTGAAGCTAATTATGTTAGATAGAGCTCCAACCTAACAGCTGCCCATTTCTTACCATGATTTGTGTGTGTGGTTAGGGGGGTTAGGGTTAATCTATCTTAATTAGGGCATGTTTGCTTTGTACACAGCAGCACCCGGAGACATGACGCTCCGCCCTGTTTACATTACTGTGTGAGGGCTGAGGGCTGGGGGGGGGGGGCAAGGTGAACCCTAGGTGTGGGCAGGTCTGGTCTCTCAGGTAGAGCGAGTGTGAGGCATGTGAAGCATAACGAGTGTGTATGTTTGCACTCTTCTCCAGGATATGGTCCTCTGGTATGTCCTTGTCCGTCTCGTGTCATATTACTGCCTGCAGGTGTCAATGACAGAGATACAGCTCTCTACTTCCTGTCTGTGTGCTATCAACAAGAGATGAAGCTGATTTTATTCATATATATATATATATATATATATATATATATATATGTGTGTATGTTTGATATGTGCTCCTGGGAACCAGGAAAAAGGTGTCTTCCGATTTCCTTATTTTGTGTGATTTCCTACCTATTAAGGCTTGAAAAACATTTTAGTGTGAAAAGACAGCCACAATTAAAAGATAAACTATGTAACATATTATACTTAGAGTGATATTAATACAAGAATGCATTCACCTTTTATTTAAAAACTAAACAAGTCATTGATCTGAACATTGCTGTATATTTGGCCACAAAAAACCTAGCTCTATTTTTAGTGAATGCTGCCAAATCTTTAAAGACTCTGTTGTCAATGTACTGGGGAAAGCACTGGATTGGACTCCAGTCTGCACAGGGTGGGGGGTCATCGTGACTAGTTTTATGGATGTGATCTCAAATTGAACATACTCATAGGAACAGACTTTGCATTCCTGCGGTAATTATTTGTATATATATATATATATATATATATATATATATATATATATATATATATATATATATATATATATATATATATATATATATATATATATATATATATATATATATATATATATATATATATATATATATATATATATATATATCAGAGTTCCCGTTAGCCGGTAATTACCGGACTATGACCGGTAAAATATGCTGAAGACCAGCAAATCTAAATCTCTCCGGTCAAAATGTCCGGTCAAAATCATTTCCCCTTAGCAAAATACCGCATCAGTTGCGCCAGACAAGAATAGTATGTGACAGACAAAAGAGTATATGACAGACAAGAATAGTCCATTCTAATGTCTAACACTTAGGCCCAATCCCAAACCGCCCCCTACACACTACCCCTCCGTTTGCGCGTTCGCTCGGAGGGTCCGCCACATTAAGGGCTGTTCCAAACCAACGAGTGTGGAGCGGTGTGGAGGGGGAGTGGGCTATCAAGCCCTCAAACAGCGAGTCTGCAGCGGTGCTGACTGGAGACCGGTCTCTACCTGACCGGAGTCACGCTGTGTGTGTCCGTCAGGAAACACGCTGTGTACAAGTAGTTCCAGCAAACATCCACTGATGAATTGCGATGTGAACAACCTCATGATAACCTCATCTTTTTTTAACTTAGGATCATACCTGTGTTTAGTCTAGAAAAAGGTAAATGTGTGCATTTTATTATAAAGTTGTGTATATTTACAGACTGTTGCAAAAACTAAGAAGCTTATAAACATCAGGTTTAAAACCAAAAGAGCTTTACAAAAAAGTAACACAATGAAAGATGTTTGGAGTTTTATTTGAGTTATTAATTTACATTTTTTGTCAAAGAGATGCTGATTTGAAACCGTTGTTACATACAGTTACGGCATTTCCTGTTTCTGCCGGAGAGAGCGGAGTTTGTCCCAAAGCTTGCCGCTGTATTTACTCCCTCCATCTTACAGGAGGGAGCCTCATTCAGCTGCGAGTGTGGCTACAGACGGAGTTCACTCCGTCACGGAGGGGTAGGTTCGAGGGAGTGGTTTGGGATTGGGCCTTAATGTGGAGAAAGAGATGTCCTGTATGGGTTGATTGTGCGTTGATCTGTTGGTAATGCCTCGGGGTTCCGGTGGGCATGTAAACAAATGCATAATGCTGCGCTATACTTTGCGGCCTCACCCGGTTGCATAGCGACACTTATTGTTTAGGTGTCTTTTAATAAGCAGGTAGTCATATCACTAGCTAGAACTAGCTAGATCTGATCGATATGGACATAAACGCGAGTAAAGTCTAATCTGACGAGAGAGAGATCAGCTGCTGCTGACGAGTCGACACGCAGCTCTGCATGATCACCTGCATCGGTGAGCGGAACAAAACACACACTTCAGGTTAGAATATCACACGTAGCTATTTTAATTACCTCTCAAACTACCTAAACTAGTTATAGAAATGTTTAGTTTTACTGTCGGGTCACTCATTACTGGATCCGCGAGCTGCATACTGGCGGGCTGTCAGGAGAGAGAGGGAGCGCTCCGTTTATTATTTCCGTGTTATTATAAGTTACTGTACACTTTTGAATAATGTAGTTAATCTACTATAATTAGTTTGTTTAATATCGAATCATATCAATTTGTTTTAAAGCTCAATAAATAACAAAGAAGACCTTTGACTGGCACTTTTCTCATTTTGTCCGGAAGATTTAATCTTTAACAGACATTTTGACCGGCAAATAATTATTCTAACGGGAACTCTGATATATATATATATATATATATATATATATATATATATACTCAGTATGACACACTGCTGATGGTTTGTTTCCCCCCCCCTTCCTGTCCTTGCAGTGAACAGTCAGTGTTGAGGTGGGCCAGTGATGCCGCCTCCAGCCTCAGGTCCCCTGGCCGAGCCCCCACCTGACGGCGGGTGGGGGTGGGCTGTGGTGTTGGCGTCTTTCATCTCCATCGGATTCTCGTACGCCTTCCCCAAAGCCATCACGGTGTACTTCAAAGACATCCAGGTGATCTTCGACGCCTCCTACAGCCAGATCGCCTGGATCTCCTCCATCATGCTGGCCGTCATGTACGCTGCAGGTGAGCCAATCTCATTTTCACAAAATGAATCAGAATTTATATTGAAGTTGCAATATGGACTAATGCAATATCAAAATCAGGCACAGTCTTTGTTATACCCATAATGTGTACTTCTGTAATAAGTTGTGTAGTGCTGCACGGATGTCCCGGCCTACAAACCATGTTGTACAGGCTAAAACAACAATTCTGTTTGGTTTGGAACAGATTGTCACAAAAGATCCCTCCATAATCATTTTAGTATATTCCTAAATCAAAGTGAAAATTATTCTACAAAAACCTTATATTCCCTCTAATTCAGCTTCTGAAACTCAACTTAAATACATCCACACCCAGACCCTAATCATACTCCAGTATTTTGGTAGAAATGTGTTCCAGTGCTTGATGTTTCTTATGGCAGTTGACTAATCTGAGATCTGTTGATGCAACAAGTCGTGATGGACTATTGATACACTTGCTTCCCCTTCTACAACACGTCCCCCTAACGTGAGCCACTGACCATTCAAACTGTCTGTCCTCTGTCCTGACTCATTGTGCTGATAAGATTATACACCAGTCATAAAGCTAGCTACCCAGGCTTATAAACTTCCACTTTTTTAACAAATGCTGAATATCCACTGCATGGTACAGCTGACTCCTTCTTCTTGGGTTTTACGTTAGCGAAAGTAATGCATAGTATCAAGTTTTTCTTTTGGGTACCACCTAGCCTGAGGTTGAGGGTTAGAAACTAAACTTAATGGTGAAAACTAAACTAGGCTAATGGCTAGACTGCGCCGTACACTACACTGTACTATTTAGAACATTCTGGATAGTTGTGTGTAGATGATATTACGACTGTTTGATGGTAAAATAGAATGGAGATAATTTCAGAAAAGCACTTGGTACCAAAAGTGGGTTGAGTCAAGTAGAGGGTACGATGCAGTGGAAACACACATTTACATTAGATTTGATTTGTCTTATTTCCTGATAACTCACTGTTTGTCCCACATTGTACAAAAGAGGAGCTTTATCTAGCTGTTAGCAGCTAATAATTTGTTAGTCAGTAGGGGCTTGGACTTTGAGCCGTAGGGTCGCTGGTTCAAGTTCCCGAACAGACCTAAATATGGAGTGTAGACTACCACTTGGAGAGGTCCCAGTTCACCTCCTGGGCCCTGCCGTGGTGCCCTTGAGCAAGGCACCGGACACCCCCCACTCCCATTGTTCCCTGGGCGCTGTGCAATAGCTGCCCACTGCTCCTGGTACTAGGATGAAAGCAGAGAACACATGTCACTGTGTGCTGTGTGCTCTGCATGTGTGACCATTAAAGAGGGTTTCATCCCTCCCATTCTAATTGAAAATCATGGTTTTGTTATTAATATATCATATAGTATAAGTGGTTTATAATTAGATTTATTGCTCATCAATGCAGATAATTCAGCCATCAAATGCCCTGGAGAGATATGTGTTATTTAATAATGTAAATATATAAGGCTATACTGATTTCTTACCAAGTGTAAGATCAACCTCAGTGTCCAAAAGGTGTACATTGAGACCGCTTCCTTTATTGTCATTAGTCTGTAGTTTACACAGCAGGGCAGAGGATCTTGAATCCTGTCCTCTGTTTCATCTCTGATCCTTGAAATCCTGACGTTGTCCTGCTTTTAGGGAAATCTCTTTACGATATCATGATGTTACACATGCTGTCGTTGTTGAGGATTATTGATGTTGCATAGAAGCTTTGTTTCCTGAGCAGACGCTTCAATCTAGAAACAAGAACTGTAACAGAAACAGGAACATAGGGTTGGTTTTGTGGAGCTCTTGATGGACTAGTTATCTGGTTATCCTCACAATATATTAGAAATAAAAGGATGGAGATAAAATCAGGTTGTGACCTGGATTTGAGGCACAGCGTCACATGCTGAGCCTCCGCACAACCAGGAACCAGCTCCAGCTGAGAGTGAGTGAGATCAGTTCCAGATATACAGCGTAAGATGATTTTAATAAATGATTTACGGACATCACATGGTTCAGGATAGACAAGGCTGTAGACAATGCAATGATTGTCATTTATTGGAAAAAAGACCTGTGCTTTGTATAAATACAAAAGGGATTTTAAATGACATTACAAATTACAACGCTACAGGTGGTCTTCCACTTTGCTTGAACACGGAGTCTTGAAAGATTGTTTCCTGCAGGTCATTTTCTAGCATCTGTCCACCCACTGTCAGCAGGCCTGAGAGCTCATTTCCTATTGTAAATAGGTGCTGTTACTTTGGACTTAATAAAAAGCATATTTCCTTTCTTAATCTTTTTTACTATGTTTTGTATATGTACCAAGTACAGCAGCACAGACTGTTCAATAAAGTTAATCAGTTATTGCCATGTCTCTCTCTGAAAGCAAATCACAGCGATTCATCTCCCCGGCAGCTTGTTGAACATATATTGGTATCAGCATACGTCGGCTGATAAGTAACAAGAAACATGAACGTTGTTTCATACGTGGCACACACATAAAAATAAAAGTACATCTCTGTATATCTTAATGGTTGAGTGACTGAAAATAAGAATGAAAAGATTGACCTGAAAATGATTTTGATTAAATGTATATTATTGGAATCATAGCTGACCTCTGACCTCCAAAGAGAGCACTTGGCTAAGTGGAAACAGCACTGTGCATGGTGACTGCTGCTGGGCTTTACAATGGTGTGTGTCTTCACTGTGTGCAGTTACTAAGCGAGGGCTCTTGTTCCTCATTTATTCATATCGATTGCACTCATGGGCTATTCATTAAACATCTGCTCTCTTGTTCTGCTCATACGCTGATGAAGCAATCACTGTTTGGATGTGTGACGCCTCTCCACCCCCACGCAGTCATTACTGGAAGCTGCCTGATAATGAGCAGCAGACGCTCAGAAATATTAATCTAATCTCTGCACATCTCAGAGAGGACTTTAACATGTCATTACTGACATGTCTCGACACCTGCCAACATTGGATTAACTCTCTCTCTCTCTCTAAATAAAATACAATCTTGTTTCTAGCTTTTGAAACTAAAAGCAAAAAAAGGTCAAATCCATGACTGAGCATAACAAACGCACCCTCTCGTTGTGTTGCCCGAGCGACAATGCAAATAAATTGCCGACCAAAAAACAGAAATCCTTAATGAAAACAAATGTTGTTATAATAATGTGTTACTGTGTCAAAGAGGGAACACCTGTACTCTTTGTTCTGAAACATTTAACAAATGGATCTGGTATAAGGCAGTAAACTCCACGTGATAACACACTGTGATAAAACAGGGCTGGGCATGCTTCAGCTCTGCGGTCCATCACAGCGGTCCATCACAGAGTTACATCACAGAGTTACATCACAGAGTTACATCACAGAGTTACATCAGCAGCAGGCGGTCGGCGCGCTGCCATGACGTGTTTAGGATCAGTGTCACTAATCCACAAAAAAAAAGAGAAAGATGTGACCTTGGGTGGGACAGCGGGAAAACACACCCACGTTACATTCATTGTCAGTCAACACGACAACACATACAGCTAAGGACTAGTGGACTGATCGATTGAGAGCCTATTAATCCTTCAAGAAAATTGCTTAAATGAAAGAAAATACCTTATTAAATATTTAGTTTTTTCAGCTTGTTTAATGTTTTTAGATTATAGTGAATATCTTCAGGCTGACAGAACAAGACATTTCAAGATATCACCTTGGACCATAAGAAGCAATAAAGTAACGGAGTGATTGTTCCTGGTATCTTATGTAATCATGGTATAGTCAATGCTAAGCCTTTCCTAAATAATTTGTGGTAATACTCTTGTTCCCTACATACAATATAAACATGCTACACCAATATTCCCTGATCTTACCCTAACCCTATCCCTAACGACACCTTGTCAGAGGAGCAGCATTAACACTGTCAGAGTCTCAGGGTCAAAGTTCGCTGCTGGTAAGTCCTGTCACTGTGTGGCTCCAGCTAGCAGAGGTTTGAACATAGACTGTATATATCCACATAGACTGCAGTATTTAGTAAATCCACAGTAACTCTCTGTGGGGATGATTCAGGTTGTGGATGTTCGCACTTGTTGTAAACTTTGCGATGTTGCATAACACTAAACAATTAGTAACCTGCATTTCTATTGGCTAACAGTAGCACAATAGCCCGGCATCATTAAGTCTCGTTTTTCTATAACCTCAAAAGCTTAAAGGGGACCTATCATGCAAAATGCACTTTTGTACGTCTTTTATACATGAATATGTGTCCCCGGTGTTCCAGGGAACTCACCAAGTGTCAGAAAACACAACCCTCTCTATTTTCCTCCATACCCAAATCTAAAAAAGGGGCTGCAACGGATCTGATAAAAACTGATCCAGATTTGAACACTGTCCTGACGTCAGGACGGTGGCGCTACGGCTATTGGGCCAACTCCACCAATCAGGAGGAGACAGCCACGGCCATTGCCGTTCGAAAGCGCTGGAGACGCTGTAGTACATATGCCAGGCCTGTAGGTGGTGCTGTTCTCACTGAATCTGCCCTTGCAAAAACAGAGCTAAAAAATGTCAAATTGAGCAAAATGAGGCATGGCTAAAATGCATGATCTGTTTGGTATTTTGAAAAAAAAAAAGTATAAATATGCCTTATATAGGTATGGTCCTACACTATATTATTCAAATATAGCATGATAGGTCCACTTTAAGTTAGGTTTGTTGCAAAAGCTTTAATAAGGGTGTTGTGATGCCAAACACTGTCCATTCATACTGACACACATCCACTTATGGGGGGGCGAATATGCATCAGCTGCTTGTGTGACAGTCAGACAGTGAATACTTTACAGCGGCCGCTGCCGTGACTAAAAGGTAGACTAAACTCCGGTGGACGAGCAGCACTGCAGCGGTCTGAACCACATCTGTAAATAATGAACTAATGCACTCTGGAAAAGAGTTTTACATTAGAGAAGTAGTTATACAATTGAATCTGGCTTCGTATTATTAAAAGCAACACGAGCATCGACCCGACGCAGTCCCCCATTGTTGTTATTGTGAGCGGCGTTGCTGATGCAGCACCAGTCAGGCTCTGGGCGGTGGAAACACAACTGGGGCCAAAAAGTAGAACATGTTGGAACTCAAAGAGCATCAGCACGGAGCTGAACTGGAACCGGTTTGGTGGAAAAGGGGTATTTGTGACAAATCCACAGAGAATCATCACCAGCAGTTCCCCTCATTCCTTCTGACAGTGTTAGCCTCTTTCAGTATGGTGTAAAGATATTGATGTTTTATATTCTTTTAGTCACTCTTGCTGCCCTCGTTGACGTCATGTTTGGCAGCAGTCTGATCTGATGGCCCCGCAGCTACAGTGGAAATTACCTAGCTGAAGCGCTCCGCAGTGTTGGTAACTTCTTTGTCAGTCTGGGATATCGAACTAGCAATCCCCCTGTGTCACGCTTTCCTTCACTTTGGTCCCTCTGTAAACATTCTCTAAATTTGACCTTGGATACACTTTTACCACATAAATGAACTGGCTGTATGGTGCTTGATGTCTTTGAGATATCTGTGTAATGGGCAGTCATACGCTCCCTTCAGAAGCCCATGTGTGTCCTCTTGCAGCAGAACAAATTCAGAAGTTGTTTGCTTCCACTTCTCTCTTTAATCCTGTTTGAAATGTGATGGATACAGCGTCCTCTCATCCCCCCCGAGCTGCCCGGCCTCTCTGCTCACATTAAAGGGTCCTGGATACATTTCTATATGTGTCACTCCTTTTTGGGGATCATCTAGGTGGTTATATTTAGTTTGGGGTTTTGTCCGCTGTGTAATGAAGTCCACCCTGCGTCTGGCCAGAAGAAGATAAGCCATTCTACAAAGGAGGTAATGTGCAGGCTCCAGGCTTCCTCATCGCGGCCAATTCAGGTCCCAGCGAACCCTTGGAGAATACTGATCACTGCTGGGGACGGAAATAAGTTCTCAAGGTCAAAAAGATTCATGCACAGCAAATGAAGTCTTATGACTTCTCACCCATTGGCTTTTTGAAAAATATAAACTTATTCTGGCTGGTACTTAGTATATAAAAAATAAAAAAACATAAGATTTTATTACTTTTACTTCCCTCTTCCTAATCGATTTACACCTCATGTTCTTACAATTCAGCTAGGATGAACTATGCCAACTATGAGATGCAGACTCCTAAAAACTGGTTTCCAGCAACACTATTCATTCAATGTAATATATAAAGTGTCTAAGCTGTAAATACATTGATCAGATGTTTTATAAGCAGATATAAGTTGAAAACAATTTTAAAAAATCGACTCTGGCTCTTATCGCTAAAATTCAGTAAACATTTGTAATTTAAAAATGTAAAACATATTGAGGATGTCAGAAATAAAACCAACCTTCCCCCCCACCCCCCAGTAACATATTGGCTTCTCTGAAGACTGAACAACATTCCCAAAGAGAACTGAGAATACAGATGAGTCCGTATGGGAGAGGAACCTCACCAAGGAGCTCATGTTTTCACATCAGTTCGTCTGTCAGCAGAATAACGGAATTATTCATGGAATTTGGTGGAAGGCCGTAGCACCCAGTACAGTTTGAGTGGCCAAGAAGATCAACGAATGCTGATTTAACCAAATAGGTTTAAACTAGGGGAGTGTGACTGCATGTGCCGAACCGTCACGGTTCGGCACATGCAGTCACAGGACAAATACGCCTTTTTTTATGAGTGGGAAAAAAGTATTTCACTCAGGGCATTATCCACTACACTATATATAATCCAGGGGGCGGTATTGCGCCTAAAAGCTGTTTGCCAGCCGCCCTTAAAGTGGACCTATCATGCTATATTTGAACAATATATTGTAGGGCCATACCTATATAAAACATGTCTGTTTAGTTTTTTTTTTCAAAATAGCAACCAGATCATGCATTTTAGCCATGCCTCATTTCGCTCTATTTGCTCTTTCCAGCCCTGTTTTTGCAAGGGCTGATTCTGTGACGTAGCTTTAATGCAAATGAGCTGCAGCTGACCACGCCCCCCTGCAGGAGAGGGGAGCGTGCTTTGAGATCAGCTGCTGGGAGGAAAAGAGAGAGTCCGTCCTCCGTGTTTTATTCTTATATGATTATATAGAGTCGTTATTCATTTGTTTTAAAGCTCAATAAATAACAAAGAAGACCTTTGACCGGCACTTTTCTAATTTTGTCCGGAAGATTTAAACTTTAACGGACATCTTGACCGGCAAAAAAAAACCTAACTGAAACTCTGCCGCACGGTCCCCTCGTTCCTTGGAAGAGGCGGAGAGGTGGGTGTTTGTCATCTGCTGGTGGACTAACCGGAGAGAATTACAGTGCTTGCCTCGACGGGGAGGGATTGCATTGAATTAAAGCAGCGGGAGCAAACGCTTGCCTCGGGGAGGGAGAAAGAAAGCCACAGCGGAGAATAAACAGAAGGGCAACCATGGCAACCATGGCAACCATGCGCGGGAAGTCTTCTTCGCTGCTTTTGTGGCAGACTACAGCGCCACTTACAGGCCTGGCATATGTACTACAGCGTCTCCAGCACTTTCGAGCGGCAATGGCCGGCCGTGGCCCAACCCCACATTCCCCTGATAGGTGGAGAGTTGGCCATATAGGCGGAGCTCCTCGTTCCTGGCGTCAGAGAATTTTCAAATCTGTATCAGTCTGTATCAGATCCGTTGCAGCCCCGTTTTTAGAGATTTGGGTATGGAGGAAAAGAGAGGGTTGTGTTTTCTGACACTTGGTGAGTTCCCTGACACACCGGGGACACATATTCATGTATAAAAGACGTACAAAAGTGCATTTTGCATGATAGGTCCCCTTTAAACAACAAATGAAGAACAAGAAGAAAACACAACAAAACTAACAAAATACAAGAAGAAGAAAAGTTAGTATTGCGAGTTCAGATAACACACAGGAGCTAGAAGACCCACCTGCTTCGTTTAAATCAGCTGTGTGGGAACATTTCGGGTTCCCTGTGGACTACAATAACGATGGAGTGCGAGTGGTGGATCGGACGAGGACGGTGTGTCGGCGTTGGTCGACAGCGGTGCGGTATGCTAATGGTAACACACGCCAAACATGCTAAATCATATCAGAAGGCATCAGCCAGATTTGCCAATCACCGGAGCCCGGCAAAAGACAACAGCAGTTCAACAGCTTATCCCCGCTGTTTTTAAGAAGCCAATAGACATGAAAGCCGAGAGACCAAAATAAATAACGGAAGCTATTGGCATATATATTTCAACGGCTATGCACCCTTGAAACACTTTCTTATTATTTATTATGTAATATTTTCAAGACATTCTTTTTTGTTTGACATCAGCCATTATAGATAATATGGCCATCTGAGTGTGTGTGGTACTGTTTGTGGTTTGTTTTTAACTGTGTAATACAGTTAATTATTCAAAATGTTAGAGTTCCTTATTTGTATACTGAAACTTGCACTACTGTTCAAAAATAAATAACAACAAACATGGAATTATGCATTTGGGACTTTTTTTTGCTTTTCTTTTTTAACCGAACCCATACCGAACCGTGACCCCCAAACCGAGGTACATACCGAACCGTGAATTCTGTGAACCGTTACACCCCTAGTTTAAATACATCCCGCTTCATTCAAAACCACATTTTCTTCACATGAAAAATGTATTGACACACCCCTAGTGTTAAGATAAGGTACTGTAAGCTTTAATTGATGCCTGTGGGGAAATTCAGGCGTTTAAGCAGCAACAGGAATTAGATTGAAACAAAGGAAACACGGGTAAGAGTTCATACAAAGATAAAGGAAAATAATGAAATAAAGAATATAAATAAGAGGATAAATAGTATATCAACAATAGAATACATGAAGCACATACCGTATGTTCATTACAGATCGTAGCAATCATTACAACCGCTACAGATTAATGCATACATAGTGTGTCAAACAACTATTGTGCTGTACAGTATGTCAAAGTGTTCACAGTGCACAACCAAATGTCTGTTTACGATTGACAGTTTGGCTAATTATATTATCTTTGACCCTTGTTTTCACTTCTTATTAAGTGATTTAGATAATGTAATTAAACTGGGGGTTCAGTCACAACATCATTAACCTGATTTAAGATCCTTCCTGCCTGTGAGCGACAGACCTCTGCCACAGCGCTGCAGCTGCCTGAATAAAAACATGTTTCTCCACATCATGAGAATACAATATTACCTGGTGCCCCTTTTTTTCCGACACCGTATGATTAAAAAAGACAATATATTAAAGAGAACTGACTCTATATGGAAGTATTTTGTCATTCGTCCCTCCGTCAGCTGCTTCTCTTAAATTGATTTGGCGCGAGAGGATGGGAGTGCCGTGTTTAAAAATGGAATCCGCTCAGTTGTTTCTATTAATAGCAGCTGGGCTCCGTGCAGCACTAACCAGATTAAGTCATTATGCGCTCACTTTCACTCATCCTGACCACTGTAAACAACTGACATGTGTGGGTCATTTCATGTGTTCCCTTGTTCCAGGTCCCATCAGCAGCATACTGGTCAACACGTATGGCTGCAGGCCCATCGTCATGTTGGGGGGGTGCCTTACTTCCATCGGCCTGATCTCAGCCTCCTTCTGCAACAGCGTGGTGCAGCTCTACATCTGCATCGGAGTTATCGGTGGTAAGTCCAGTTTATACACTTAAGTCCAATTTGAGTTAATTTGATGAGCCTTCTAAGCAGCAGGTTAAAAATAAAGTTGTTGTTGAAGGAAGGACATATGCTTTGATTGTTCCATTTCCGTTTCTGATAGGAAGGCCTTACATTTATTCAATATTAATATAAAGAAAACCGCAGAGATTTTATTGCACCGCATTTGAGAGGACGAATGTCAGCCTCCGGTGGACCCTTGATTACATCATTGGGAAAACCATACCACAATAAAAAAAACTCTCAGATTGACTTTTAATGTTATAGCAAAGTTTAGCATTGCTAGTTCCAATTCATATTTAGCCATATTAGTAAAACTGAGATTGTCTCTCTGGTTTAACAAGACCAAGAGTCTACAGTCATGCTAACTATTCTATGAGGCTATATATTGTAGCTAAGTGCAAACACTAGCATGGCAGCATGCTGAAAACACGACAATAACTTACGAGTGTCAGTAGCTTGCTCGTAAAGCCAGTAGCTCAGAGCTTCTCAGTGACTGTGTTTTTCTCCTCAAAAGGTTGCAATTATACTATTTATATCTCTGTCTAATGTTGTTGAGTGTGTGATTTAAAAATGGGTTTCTCATTAAGGTAAATTAAATACATTTCTGATTACAGTGCTCTTAGACATTGGTATGTAACAGTTAAAGAATAATTGTTATAAGTCACCTCTGTCCTCTCTCCTCACAGGACTCGGACTAGCCTTCAACCTGCAGCCGGCTCTGACTATGGTCGGAAAATACTTCTTGAAGAATCGCCCCATTGCCAACGGGCTGGCAATGACGGGCAGTCCGGTGTTCCTCAGCACCCTGGCTCCTCTCAACCAGTACCTCTTCAACCAGTTTGGCTGGAGGGGCAGCTTCCTGATCCTGGGGGGGCTGGTGTTGAACTGCTGTGTGGCCGGCTCCCTCATGAGGCCTCTCGGACCGCCGCCCGGCAAGATCAAGAAGAGCGAAGAGATCGCCGTCATCACCACCACAACAAAAGAGAAGCGGACCGCCTGGGAAACGGTCAACAAGTACCTGGACCTGTCACTCTTCAAGCACCGCGGCTTCCTCATCTACCTGTCAGGAAACATCATCATGTTCCTGGGCTTCTTCGCACCCATTGTCTTCCTCACGGCCTACGCTAAGGACATGGGCGTGGACGAGTACTCGGCTGCCTTCCTGCTCTCAATTCTGGCTTTTGTGGACATGTTTGCCCGGCCTTCCATGGGGCTGCTGGCCAACTCTCGCTGGGTCCGGCCCAGGATCCAGTACTTCTTCAGCTTTGCTGTGCTGTTCAATGGGGTCTGCCACGTCCTCTGCCCCCTGGTGGAGAGCTACACCGGCCTGGTGGTGTATGCCATGTTCTTCGGCTTTGCTTTTGGCATGGTCAGTTCAGTGCTGTTCGAAACACTCATGGACCTGGTGGGGCCTCAGCGGTTCTCCAGTGCTGTGGGACTCACCACCATCATGGAGTGCTGCCCAGTCCTCATTGGTCCCCCTCTAGCAGGTAAGATATGTGTGTCTCAAAGCATATTTCAACATTTAGGATTTGTACTGCCCTAGTTCTTAGCCATTCTGGTTTAGAGTCAGTTCACAACAATATTCAGGCCTGGTCACACCAGAAAGGCACAGTGGTCTTGGAAGCTTGGTACTGACCATTTGCAGAAGCTAGTTGGCAAAGGGTAAGGTAACTGCTCAATATGTTCACACAGCTTTTCAAACAAAACATATTTGTTCCACTTCCTTTATGTCATTACTGACTGCAATCTTTCTATGGAAGAGATATACTCTGACAGAGGGGGTCGAATATAAGTTGATTACAACACAGTTATTAAGACATGGTAGCCTCTCTTGTATTGACATGATACACAGTAAAACACATCTGCAGCTTTAGGCTCTACGCCTCTTTGCTCCTTCAAAGACCAGTATTATCAGCATCATTTGTCAAAGTTAATGGAAGTTGACCAAAAAGACTTGCATGGATTAATTTAGCTGCATGGAAATTGTGATTCAGGTTCTATTGAAATCATATTTTTAATGTAAACAACTAGTCCTTTACTCATTTATATTACTAGTAATTACTCTAATGAATAATACTTGATATTTGTACATGTTTTTTCTACTTGGCAATACCTTAAGATTTGATTTGAGCAGATACTTTAACATTTTTAAAACTTTGTGTGTCTTGCAGGGAAACTGGTGGATGTCACAAAAAACTACAAGTACATGTATTTTTGCTGCGGGGTGGTGGTGATTTTGGCCAGTATTTGGCTCTTCATTGGGAACTTCATTAACTACAGACTCTTGGACCGTGAGCGGAAGGCAGCAGAGATGTACAAACGGACTGAGACGGAAGATCCAGACAAAGCTCCGGGTCAGAAGGAGGCTGACGGGGAAGCCCAGAAGGAAAAGGGCGATGAACCTATGCAGCAGGAAACCAACATCTAAACCAACATACCTCACCTCCGGGACGTCCTCACCCTCCACTACGATCAAACTGAGCTCCCAGCCAGGAGGGGCCTCTGTGTTCCACCTGGCTCTATTCGGGGTCCTCTGCACTTATAGAACTAACTGCCAAACAACAACTGTGTTGTAGGAGGCTGTGAGACGTTATATATATTTGTCAAGGAGCAATAGCTGTGACTATAAGATAAATATTAACCACACAGAAACGTGTAACCTAGTAGCAGTTACAGTCAGGATGTATGATTATAGTGTCTGTGGGAAGTCTTAAATTGTGTCAACTGCGAGCTAACATAGCAAATAATGGCAGATAATGATGAGAAAATGTAACTTATAGTCAGACAATCGACTCTGCTTCAGAGCAGTTAGGTCTGCTATAGTTTGTGTATGGTTATTTTAAGGTATCTCCATTTGTCCCTAATCAAATGTTCTGAGCTGTAGCCACAGCCGTCATTCCTTCATCCCACTGTTCCTTCCGATATCACGTGAATTTAGCGTCATGCACCATCCAACTGAATCAAAATGAGATCCGCTTTCTTCTTAACATGCTGAGATCTTGATTAACAAGAAAAAGGTGAAATAAATCAAAACAGTGAACAGGAATTACTAACTGCATTCACACTGCAGGTGACTTGGTTTTGACCATTTTTGTCAAATTGTGGACAGTTAGAGGCATGGATTGTACACACAGTTAATGCAGATCAGACTGCCATCACAGTAACATGTAAAGAAAGTTATTTGTTATCTGAAATAATGAATACAGCCTTTCTCTAAGCATCAGCCGTGGGGGGCCGTGGGGGCCCCGCTGATTGTGCTTGTTTGTTCAGCTCTGTAGGAGGTCTGATCTCCTCGTGACTTTAGTTACGTTTCTCGCAGTGTGAATGCAGCGTTGGCAAACCCAGCGCACCAGAAATGATTGATCTATCTCGTGAAATGTGTTCAGAAATATAATTGCACTGTGTTTAAAACGGCAGTTGGGTGCTGTAAAATGTGCACTTCCAAAAAAGAACAGCAGATGTATTCTGCTGCCCACCTGATCACCGTATTGTAGCGCAGTGAGACCTGCACAGTAACCCACTTTAATACTTTATATAGAGCTTCCTGTGAGTAGTCTAGTGTTCCATGCTGACTCGTATACATGTAGAGAAAAGGCTATACTTCACAACTTTATTAAAATGCTGCATCTATAGAAATCTAATTATGGTTGAATGAATACTATATGAAGCTGATAAATCTCTGTTAAATGTGACTCTGTTTTTTGACTGTGATTAACTTGAATACTCAAATGAAATCAGTGTAGTCCACTCCATTTGTCTCCTCACATGTCTAAGTGTTGATGTCCATAAGCTAGAGATAATGTAACGTGCTGTGACTAATTCACTCACACACACCATGTGTAACCACGAGGAGGAGAGCTACTGATGCTACTAATAACTGAATGCTAATGGATCTGTGTTGTCAATCGTATTGTGTGCACATGAATGTACTGGATGAGCATATCCTGTTGCTATGAATGTCACATATTCTATCATTCCACGTGTCATTCTAAATGTCATCCTGCTGTTGTTCAGTTTTCATCATCAGCTGTGGTCTCAGACGCAGACCACATGGGGTCTCAGATGTCCTCACAAAGCCAAACACATTTAAATAACAAATGTAATTTTCAAAGCAATCATGAACAAACATGTTATTGTCCCTCTTCTCTATGCTGTGAAAAGATGAATGTGTATCCAGAATCATGAACATGGATGTCCAGCTGTGTTACCATGTGCTCTGTTCACCTGAGTCTGACTGAGGATCAGCTGTTTGTCAGGCTGGGTGCTCAGGGTATCAGGGAGACATCGTTTGAGAATATCTGTCATTTATTGTAAATAAGATGGTTGTGAAAGATTTGCACATGTTTGTTCTCAGTTTAACAAAGTACTTGACTTCTATGAGCTTGCTTTGAACTGGACTAAGTTTTCCAGTCTTGGTTCTGACTGCTGCTCCAGCAACATGTGGACCAACAGCTCTCCTCTGTTAGCTTAGCTATTCAGAATCAACCTCCCATAATGCACCTGCAGTTCACCAGCATTTCATACTGATATTAGACAGTATTTTTAAATCGCCATGTCTTTACCTTCCTTAGCTTTAGTTATTAATAACATGAATAACACTTTATGAATGTTAACATGTATGCTACATTAGTGTAAAGAGGGACTACTTTACTTCACAGACTCACTGTACAGGGTGCCTCTCACTGAGGCTCTCTACTGAGCAACACTGCCTCCTGCTGGGTCCAAACCACACAGACCAAAGGAAGAGAAGCTTCCCTTCCAACAGAACACATGATGAGGGTCCACTGTGTTTTTGCTATTTATATGTTGAGGTATACAAATGGAACAAAACACCACCTTGTAACGGTTTGATGAAATTAAAGTGTGTACCATTACATTTCAACTCTCCATTTATTTCCATACGTTCCACACATTATCTTACTGTTTTATTTGAATATGACATAAGCCATAACGGTTGAGAACCGTCACTGCATACAGAAAAGAACCCATGTTTGAAATGATGGTGTTCTCCTCACTGTACCTGACGTATTCTGTTCAAACCACATTTCTCTGTGTTCTGGTATTTATTTTAAGAACTAAAGAAAATGCTTATAATGACTTCATCCAAATACATTTGAGTGATTGAGTTGACATGCAGAGAGCCTTAGCAGTTATAATGCATATAACATTGACTGGTTTATTTTGGGTTTCTTTCTTTTTATGTCAATTTAAAAACAGGTTTATCTTGAGATTATTGAAGACCTCATTTAAAGAGAAGATGAATTAAAAAGGATGAACACTTTGGCCTCTTGGATTAAACGTGCACATAAGTGTTTAAAAAAAGGAAATGTTGCTTGAGGGTTCTGAAGTGTCAGCTGTAGGAAATGCCCCGGCTGTTATAGTTTATTCCCCCTTGTGTATGGAAGCAATAAGCAGAATATAAAGGTTCAGAAAATGAAATGGATGTTACGTACTGTTGGACTCCATCACAGTGTTTAAACACTCATACGAGGCAGAGAGTAAAGCACACTTCACTTCACTCTTTGATTTGACTGCATTATGTGTTCTGGGCCTGAATGTAATGCAACAGAAAAAAATAGTTTGGATAAGGAAATGTGTTTCTGATTTTGATTCCAGGATTTCTTCATTCAAAACTCCATTTGGAAATCCCTAATTTGAAAGTAGCTGTACTCTGCCCCCGAGCCAATGGGATCATCTCTGCCTCCAATAAGTGTTTTATATCTGAACAACATCTGCAAAGCTAAACCTTGGACACACTACCTTCCATACAGATATGTGATGTGGGGTAGATCCATGTGTAGATGTGCACGGTGGTTTGCTACTGGGAGGCTGGAGGACTGTTGATGACATCTCTGTGCCTTATTGGCCATTAACAGTACAATAGTGTTGTCTTGCAGACACTACATTTAGGTTAAGTTGTGTCCTTCCTTCCTACTTATTGTCTGTTTAAAGTCTTCCCTCCTCTCACATAAAGTTCACTGCGCTCAGTCTTCACGTCGTATTAACTCATGTAACAAATGCTGCAACACCAGATAGTCTAAATATTTATAAATGATTTTAATTGAGAATAATTGCTGCTATCTATTGTGTTTATAGGGTGCTTATATTTCAGTGTATGAACACATTAGAGGATATAGTGTTTGGAGCTGAGTCCGTCCAGTAGCAGAGCACCGCACTGAGACGTGTGTGTTCAGTGTGTGTTCACAGTGTTCAGTGTGTGTTCACAGTGTTCAGTGTGTGTTCACAGTGTTCAGTTTGTGTTCACAGTGTTCAGTGTGTGTTCACAGTGTTCAGTGTGTGTTCACAGTGTTCAGTTTGTGTGTGTTCACAGTGTTCAGTTTGTGTTCACAGTGTTCAGTGTGTGTGTGTTCACAGTGTGTGTGTGTTCACAGTGTTCAGTGTGTTCACAGTGTTCAGTGTGTGTTCACAGTGTGTTCACATTGTGTTCTCAGTGTGTGTTCACAGTGTGTTCACATTGTGTTCTCAGTGTGTGTTCACAGTGTTCAGTGTGTTCAGTGTGTGTTCTCAGTGTGTGTTCTCGGTGTGTGTTCTCGGTGTGTGTTCTCGGTGTGTGTTCACGGTGTGTGTTCACGGTGTGTGTTCACGGTGTGTGTCAGTGCTTCACGGTGTGTGTCAGTGCTTCACTACCTCTTCAGCCTCCTCCAGAACCACACGGGTCAAAAAACTGCTTTTTGTAATTCTAACAGAATGTCCTCACCTTTCACTATAGCTATAAATAAAGTATATATCCAACAAGCCTTTGCTTATGACTCGTGATATAAAGGTTAGATTTGTTCTCTTTTGTTACAGAGAAACAATTACTGTATTGACCACACCTACACTTTCAATGATCAATTACGTGCCAGGTTTCAATATTTTTAGCCTATATCCTTGTTGATGCTGCAATGTAGATACTAGTGTATTTTCAAACAAAATAGTTAAACTGTTTTCCTGGACGAGAAGATGACTGAGCTATGCTCATAACCCAGAAAGACAAAATAATCCAAAAGAAATGGACATAATTATGTGGACTCTTTGCTATGACACCTTGAATATAGCTCAGGTGCCTCCCATCTCTCTTGATCATCTTTGAGACCTTTCTACAAGGAGGCTGGAGTCAACCTGAGCTACATCTGACTGATGGGCACGATGTGTGTGTGTGTGTGTGTGTGTGTGTGTGTGTGTGTGTGTGTGTGTGTGTGTGTGTGTGTGTGTGTGTGTGTGTGTGTGTGTGTGTGTGTGTGTGTCACATCTCATGGAGCAAATGATTATACTGAGTACTTTAGTAACACAGTAAGCTGATATTCTCCTAAAGCTTACCAAAAGTTGAACATCTGAATATCTGAATTTGCTCTGCCACCAAAAACAAATGTTCAGAATGGAAGTGAAGAGGGGAGTGTAAATGTGTGATCGTGCCTTAATGCGAGTACAATCAGACTAAAGTTACTGTAGAGTATTGTAGCAGCTGACCTGCCAATCAGATGCCTCACAAATGTTTAAAATATATTTCCGGATGAGATACTATCATATAAACCCCCACATGGAAACAGAACCTCCGTAGTGGAGGCAATAATCTTTAAGCAAATCAGCACAATGAATGGGCTAATTACGTGTGATTGTGTGTGTGTGTGTGTGTGTGTGTGTGTGTGTGTGTGTGTGTGTGTGTGTGTGTGTGTGTGTGTGTGTGTGTGTGTGTGTGTGTGTGTGTGTGTGTGTGTGTGTGTGTGTGTGTGTGTGTGATTAGCCTCGAAGTGCAACTCCTGCTCTCTTCCTGCTGCACACGAGCTGTCATTAATTCTGCTTGGTAACAAATCCCATCATGCCCCCCCCTCTCATTAGTATGCGGTGCGTTGGAGAGGCAGAGCGTGCCGGTGATGGCTGGAGACCCTCAGGCAGGGTTCCAGGCTACATTTTAATGGTGTGGTGAGGGTCAACAGGAGAGGAGAGAACAATGGGCCCCCCCACCTCCGTGTGATAGGCGTTCAGCAGCACCGGGCCCCGGGGGGACCTGTTGGGGTTTGAATGCAGAAGAAAGAAGCTGACCTTGAGAACAGTGTTAAACTCTATTCCCTGTTATGCTGCTGGGTTTGGGGCCGGCTGCCTTTGAGTCCTAACGGTTTGCAATTAGTTGTACAGGCCGCTAACTATGTTGTGATAATAGGTTAATACTGAGGGGAAACCCCTGTGATGTCGAGCTGCTGAAGCCTCACATCCTAGCTCATAATAACTCTCCCTCCTCATTTATTTTCCATGCTCTTTTTTTACTTGTCTGCATAAACATAAAAACATGAATATACTGTATATACTGGGTGTTTGGCTGCTAAGGTTTTATGGTAAAATGTATATTGTGTGAACTGTGTTCCCCTGTTCAAAGAATCACTCCCTTACTGAGCACTTTTATTGTCAATATGTGTGGACATGTTTACCAAGGACTACACCTGAACATTTTTTATACGGCTTTCCTGTTTTGACCAAATAAATGGAGCATTCCTTCAGGGTTGACCTGAAGTTGTTATTAGCTGATTGGCCTTACAATCACTGGCTCATTAACAGAGGATTTGTAATGTCCAATCATATTCATGCAGCCATTAGCAATACCTGTCCCTCCACCTCCTCCTGATGTGCTTTATTTTCAGTATTGCTGATTTGGCTTGGATGTGAAGACCAAGTTTGTGTTTTTCACGGGCGGTTACATCACCAAGCAGGATCTCATTTTGCTGATCAAAGACTATTGGAACATGTGACCATTTGCTGTGTCTTTGACTGAAAAGTATAACATTCCTAACTCACCTGGTTGAAGTCTGAACAATGACAGCTGCCCCACATCAGTTTGTTTATATCTGTCAAATGTACATATATATATTTATATTAGACTTGAATAACTCTGCCATTTCTGCTTGTTTTGCACTTCTGGTTAGATGCTAACTGCATTTCGTTGACTTGGTACTTGTAAATAAAGTTGAATCTGATCTACTGTAAGAGCCTGTAAGCAGGGTTTTGGTCATCATCATCTAGATGTTAAGGGTCAATCTGGGCTGAGCTTTTCTTCAAATTCAAACATGTCAGATTGGAAACTGTATTTCACCCCTCCTCCCCCTTACCCTTCTGATTGGACAAGGTGTCGACACTCTGTTTGTGTCAAACTCCAACCTGACAAGCCGGACTCACTCACAGGTGTGGACGTCAGAAAGCCTTCAGCATCACACTTCAAACTTTCATCCAATTTTGCTTTTAGATGTGGTCGGACAACACAGAATCAGCTTTTTTCTGACATTCCCTGGTCTTAAATTAGGTTTAAAAGGCAGAACACTGGCTATGAAACATTTAAAAATGAATCAAGCTTTTATGCAGGATTTCTACCTTGTTTCCTTCACAATCAAATCAAATCAAGTTTTATTTATAAAGCACATTTAAAAGTGATTTTTGGTCGAGCCAAAGTGCTGTACATGTAACGGACCGTCCACACAGCAGCGTTAAAAAATCTTGGAACGCTTCTGCCCATTCACTTTGAATGGGGTGACGTCACTTTGCCTCACTTTTCGCCGAACTGCATTGTGGGCAGCAGAGCGGAGATTTTCAGGATTTTCAGGATTCAAAGTTGAGCAATGTTCAACTTTTGAAGCTGAGGTGGAAGCGTCAGCCAATCAAATCCCGTGTATGCAAATTTGACAGTTCAAGCGCTAGCCAATCAAACCGCGTGTATGCTGGGAGAGACATACCGAAGGTCATTTCCTCATATTCCAAAAAATGGAGGAGAAATTAGCGGTAGGGAATCACCCTCGGGTTTTAAGCCTGGTCTTGGGCACTACCAGCAGCAGCTGATCAGCAGACCTTAAAGCTCTGGCTGGGGTGTAGCGCTGGAGGAGTTCAGCTATA